TCTTTGATACCAAATGTAAACTTCTGAGTTTAGACGGATTATAAGCAACCATACTTCCCTATAAGTTCATGCCCTCATGAACGGAAGCTGAAAGCAAATTGGACCTGCCAAATGTTAATCAACATGTGGTGTGATTCCTCTAGCCAGAGTTAGACTCGAGACCTCTTTGATACCAAATGTAAACTTCTGAGTTTAGACTTCCCGACAGGTCACCTAGCCCAGTACTATTCAAACCCAAGGATGCTTAACCCCAAATATCCCAAGACCCTTAACCAATTAAAAAAGGGGGTGCACTCTTGTTCATGGGCCCTTTCCTTCTATATTTGAACCCCATGGATCGTCTCTTAAGTTGTTCTCTTTGGTTGCTTACAAAGACCTACATAATCACACAATGTTTTTTCAGTATCAAATAAGAAGTAATTACCTCTGATTGTCCTATCCAGCTCACTTTGCATCCCTATATTCTACATGTCAAAAGAAAGATACTAAGAAAGTAGTGCCTCCAATCTTCAAGAACTTACCTTGATTTACTGCTATTATCTTAGTGTTCTTGTAAATTTTGTGTTCTTTCGTGATTGTTCTCAACTCACAGCCAATGATGAGAGGTGCCTGAGGCAAGGCACTCTAGTCTAGGTTAATGAGAAACGAGCATCAAACCTTCATGATAGACCAAATGCTGAAATGTGAACAATATTCAACCAAGGACATTCAACCATTCCCCACTTCGGGATCTGAAAGATAGAACTTGAGAAATTTATGATTCCAGCCTCTGGGACGAGCATGAGATGCCCACAAATTGTTGTCATCCGCTATGCAAGCGAAACTGGTCAAGAAAGGGAAAAAGAAGAAGAACTTTACTGTGGCCATCTGTCTTTCACGTCAAATGATGTCTGCCAGCTATTCACATACTTCCCAGCCCACACAGCTGGATGATATTCTCCCCTATGCACAGAAACATAAGCTCTTATATCACATGAGATAGCAAGAAGAAAAAAATTACCATTCACACATTGCATGGATGCTTGCTTTTTTTAGTATCTCACTCATCACAGGATTCCTTAGATGAAAATGTTGTTGGCATACTGAGCATGAGAAGGCTGATTTTTCCTGTGAAAGCAATTGTCATACTTGAGGAGATTTGCGTGGTATGATGTCGATTTCTATTTTTCTCTTGGCTCCTTTTTATATTTTAATTTTGTTTTTCCTCTGTAGATGCTGTCCCGGGACCACATTTGGCACGACCCTGGTTTCATACACATTGCACGAATCCAAAATCTTAGGCCTGATACAAGATATTTGTACCGGTATGGAAGGTAAGGAAGGTTTTCTTTCATCTTCTGTGCTGACTCTAAAGTCTGATTATTTGCAGTGATAATTCTGGCTGATCCAACTTGAAAACGTTCACTACTCCTCCGGCTGGAGGAGCTTACAGTATGAAGTTTTTAATCTTTGGAGACATGGGAAAGGCTGAACGAGATGACAGCTTGGAGCATTACATCCAATTAAGTTAAATCTCAGAAACTCTTACATCTTGCCAACTTCACGCTCCTGAACTATTTATGTTTGCAGCCAGGTGCACTGCAAGTTACTGATGCCATGGCAAAAGAGGTCGTAGATGTAATTTTCCACATTGGAGACTTAAGCTATGTTACTGGCTTCCTTGCTGAATGGGACCATTTCCTGGAGATGATCAAGCTGTGAGAAGAAATAACTCAAGTGACACTTTGAAACGGAACAAAAGTGGCATGTTTACTGTACCCACGTTCATGCATCTCGAAACTTGTGCCCCTTGGCATTTGCAAGTCATTCTCCTGGAAAATGTCTGCAAATGATAAGCTGTTCATTAGGAGGAAAAAAAAAAAAAAAAAAAAAAAAAAAAAACTCTCTACCTTCCAACAAGGTTCGCCAGATCATCACCTGTACTTTTGAGATCCCACATCCAGGGGAACAACAATGAGAACTTTTGACTTTAATACCACTGCCGATCTCTGTATAGACAAAAAAAATGTCTTCTATTCTACGTCTTCTTCCACAATTCTACAACTGATCTCTTCCAGAATAAGACGTGAAGCCAGCTTAAGCTTGCCATGCATCTATCTCTGGACTCTCCCACTCTTCCATTTCAATGGGTGGTACTTTCCTTGGGCAGTCGCAGCTCTGGCCGGGACCAACATATGTCTTCACCAGGTTTGCTTTTCCTCATCTCTTCATTTAAGCTCGTATAGCAGTAAAGTTCCTCGTTTCCACAAGTGACGGCCAAAGGAATCTTTGCTGCCATAGCCGAGCACAATGTGACCAACTTTGGCGCTGCTCCCATGGTGCTCAACATGATCATAAGTGCGGCAACGGGCTCAACGTTCTCGCGGCTCCAACACAGGCAAGTCAGGATAATGACCACGGGTGCGGCTCCTCTGGCAGCAGTCCTGGCTAAAATCGAAGCTCTCAGGTTTCATGTGATGCACGTCTACGGGCTCACGGAAACATATGGTCCATGCACTGTGTGCGAGTGGAATCCCGAATGGGACAGCCTTTCGCCCAATGAGCAGGCCAGGCTCAAGGCTTGGCAGGGTGTGAAATACGTTTTCCTCGATGGCTTACAGGTGCTCAACTCTGAAACTCTGGAACCTGTTGCCAAGGACGGTGTCACCATTGGCTAAGTTTGCATGCATGGGAACATGGCATTCAAGGGGCACTTGAACAATCCACAGGCGACGCTGGAGAGCTTTAGAGGAGGATGGTTCCACTCCGGGGACTTGGCAGTTTGGCATCCCAATGGATATATCGAGATCAAGGATATTATCATTTCTGGAGGGGAGAACATTGGCAGCCTGGAAGTGGAGAGCATCTTGTACAGGTAAAAGGAGAGTTTTTTCTTCTTTGTTTCTCGTTAAAGTTTGCTTCTTTTTCTTCCAGGCATCCAGCAGTGTTGGAAGCTGCTGTGGTGGCGGGGCCAGACGAGAAGTGGGGCGAGTCTCCATGCGCGTTTGTGTCCCTCAAGCACAGCGTGAGAAGAAACGAGGAGGAGATACTCTTGTTCTGTCGTCAGCATTTGCCAAAGTTCATGGTGCCAAAGAGCGTCATCATTCTCGCGGCCTTGGACAAAACTGCGACTGGCAAGATCCAAAAACAGGTGCTGCGCAGCAAAGCAAGAGCTCTTGGCAGCATCAAGCAAATCAGCAAGCTCTAACAGCCAACTATTGAACTTGTAAATCTTAAAATCGTTCATGGCCTGGAAAATCCCCATGGCAATTTTAAACCGGTCAACTACTGTTCCGTCCGTTGTAATGTACTGGAATGAAAAATAAATAAATAATATACAAGAACCAAGAACGCAATTCATCTACCTCAAACAATAGCTTTGTCTTATCGGCTGTCACTCTTGCATATCCAAATGCAGACCTTCGAATCAAGCTCCATGAACTAAACTGTCAGAAAAAAAAAATAGAATAATGCTTTATTTCGTTAAAGTGGAATTTTTCATTATCCCACTTATGGTGTGTGGCCACATGCCATTTTTATAACAACAATAAAAAATTGAAGTTTTAGCTTTATAATTTATAAATTAAAAACTTTTTATATGATTTTGTGTTATAATATTGTGAAATATAAAAAATAAATTAAAAAACTGATAGAAATATTAATAAATATTAATTAAGTACTAGGAAATGGCATGTGGACACATGCTAATTAATGTCCCACTTTACTGAATAAGTTCCACTTTAACGAAATAAAACATAATATCAATACCATATAAAGAGCTTGAATATAGGAAACAAAGCTGCAAGCTTACATTACGAGGGAAGTCATCCAGGCTGAACCTGATCATGCCAACCACAGCGTGAACTGGAGCCGAGTAAATTGTAATGTCAAGGAAATTGACACCCACTAAATCCTTGATCGGGTGCTGCAGGCAGCGGCCCTGAAACACAGCACAAGTTTGCTTGTAGTTGTGAACATGCCCCCACACTGCTAAATCAACCTGTGCAAAGACAATTTCATTCTAGTTTTCCCTTTGAAGAGCTCGTGTTTTACCTTGTTTTCTCAAGAGCAATGGTTCCACAGCTGCTACAAATTTCAGATCCACATATGGTAGAAGTTTAGAAATACTTCCCAGCAGTTGAGTGGAGTACTACGTAGATGACTGAAAGAAAAATAGCACACATGAGTTTACAGAATGAAAATGTGGATAAAAACAGTTACCCTGTGAAAACTATCCATGGTATACTGAATCTGTCGACAGATTCAAGGTCAGATTTCATCCAAGTGTACTGTAGAAGGTTTCCTTGAAGTAAACATGAAAAGAATAAGAATGCATACTTGTTCGCTGGTCAAGCTCCAGTCGTGTTCTGTAGAGATGACTGTGAAATGCATGGGGCTGATGTCAGGCATTTGGAAATAAGTTCAATATGGGACTCCACATTTGCCATCTAAGTGTGTTATACAAAGATCATGAATCTGGATAATCTCTGAAAACCACACAGATCAGTCTACAAGTTTTCATAAGACTTTGTGAGTACGTCTCCTGGTTTCCAATGGCTGCCATGTACGCAATCTTGGATGCTACTGGAACAGTGACGGAGAAATGCCACAATTAAAAAAATTCTGATTTGCAAAGTTATTACCTTTTGTAATTATATCTCAGCCGTTAGATCTTGGCATATACCCAAAATAAGTGTCCCCAGTATATGCTATTATTATACTAGCTCTTTCATTTAAATATATGAGTATGATGATGATGATCTTGAATTTTAGAAACTATATATAATAATATTTTAAGAATAAAATCATAACATTAAATATTGATTACAAAGAGCCTAAGAAAAATAAAATTAGAATTAGATAAAAAATTAAAAAATAAAATCACAAGATTGAAGAATAAAGCATTTTCTGTGATATGAGTGTTTAATAAAAATTCTCCTCTGAAATTTTCTCTTTCCACAAGCTCAAATGTTCCCGGCTCAAATCCCTAGACCTAGAAAAAATTTAACTGACAGGATTAGTAATAAATGAAACACACGTCCTAAAGCATCTTTATAAAAGCTTCAGCAACCGAATTCCCTTGTAGAAAAAATCTCGCAGTCCTGGGTCCGTTACGATGATGATCACAAGAGCTCCTCCTAAAGTTATGGATCGAGCATTCTTCCTCGTTTTGATCCTGGCAGTGATTGATTGGAGCCTGGAAGAGCACCTCACTCCGGATTTCTACCAGGATTCCTGTCCCAATCTCGAGACCACAGTGCGAGAGACCGTAAATAAGTTCGTCCAGGACGAGCCAGGGATCGCAGCTTCACTCCTTCGCCTACATTTTCACGACTGCTTTGTCACGGTAAAGTTCGAAGGCAAATCTCACTAGTACCTTGAGTTGATCGAAAAGACGGAGCGTAACTTCTTTTGCAGGGCTGCGATGCTTCAATCCTCCTGGACGACGTTCCTCCCAGGCTGGGCGAGAAGAGCGCTCCTCCAAACTCAAACTTTTTTCGAGCTTACGAAGTCATCGACGACGTGAAGTTCCAACTGGAGCAAATCTGCGACGGCGTGGTTTCCTGCGCCGATCTCTTGGCTCTAGCTGCAAGAGAAGCCGTCATAGCGGTGAGCGAAAGGAAAATGCCGAGATCAAATCTCTCACCACCATCTTTTCTTCTGTGATAGTCACACGGCCCTCACTGGAAAGTCCACTATGGCCGAAGAGACACCACGGTGGCGAGCTTGGCGGCCGCTGCGCAGGACATACCTTTCGCCAACGCCACCACCCAAGAGCTCATCACAAGGTTTGAGAACAAAGGCCTGTCCGTGGACGAAATGGTAGCTCTCTCGGGAGCTCACACAATCGGCCAGACACGCTGCGCGGTCGTCAAGGATCGCCTCTACGACTTCATGGGAACCGGACAGCCGGATCCAGCGCTGGACAAGGATTTGCTCCAATCCCTCCGTGAATCCTGCCCTGACACGCCCTCGAGCGATGAGAATTTCTCCCCTCTCGACTCCCAGACCCCTCTCCGATTCGACAATGCCTACTTCACGGACCTGAGGAGCGGCCGCGGCGTCCTCCGCTCGGATCAAGTGCTCTACTCCACGCCTGGCGCCACCAAGAGCGCCGTCCATATCTACAGCGGCGATTCAAGCCAGTTCTTCGAGGATTTCGGGAGAGCGATGATCAAGCTAGGCGGATTGACGCCGCTAACAGGGAAGGAGGGCGAAATCCGCCGCTCCTGTCGATTCCCAAACCGGTGGATCTGAAGCTCATAGAACCCTAAATTTAACTAAATTACAAATCCTTTCAAACCTTAAAGCTAGAACCTTAAATTTAGAAAATTAGCCCTGTTGGATAGTTTTAAGCTACAAATCTATGACATTCTCCCCTTTCAGACCCATTTCACACTTGATATTTGACCATTGCTATCCCAATGTACTCTACTCTTCGAAACCAAAGCTCCTTGAGAATCGTATGCATGTAGCTGATTATCTCCAACCACAACCAATTCACTTACTCTCCCTCCTTCCAGCTTTCCATCCAAAAACTCCCACTCTGATTTGTCTTCGTTCCAAAAGTAGAGCCAGTTTGCGTTGCTGTCTTGGAACCACTTCATCATCACCAAGACAACCTTGTTCAAAGTTGCCATGGCTGGCATCACACCATCCTCAATAATATCCTCTGCAAAGGGTTGTCTCCACCCTTTCTTGTTAACGCCCTTGTAGTCCAAATCCAGAAACCTCCACTCTAGCACCAATTTTTGGATCCCGCTGTATGGAAAGCTCTCACGCTTGAAAACCCCAACAATCCCATCTTGCAACACAAGCAATCTCTCCAAATTGCAACCCAAAGGAAACCTCTGTTGCACACTCCACTTGTCCAAGCGCAGATTGTACTTTTGGATCCTGAAATCAGCTGCAACGTAGATGTTATCTTTGAAAAACACCATCTGTGGATTGCTCGAAATGTTGGTCATCCAAGTGATTGGATGATCAGTCCCTTTGCAAAGGTCGAACAAGTGGGATTTTCCAAGCTTTCTGCAATACATGAGCACAAAGCCTTCCCTGCAACACATAACTCCCCACTCATCACTCGGGTCTCCAGTAGGACATGGAAGTGTTAAATGCCCTTGTATCTCGTAAGGCAGCTTTACCATCCTTTGCGAAGATTGGCCCTGCGACTGATCATCTTCTAGTTCTAGCCTAGTAGCCCCCTCTTCATTTGCACTTGACTGTTCAGTTTCATTGGAAGAAGCTCCATTGTCGAGGCTGACCCTTGAAAGAATTTCCAATATTACGTCACATGGCCCATCACCCTAAACCCTAAATCTGTAAAGCTGCCCTGATTTATTTATATAGAAGCAAACCTCATGAATAGCTTCTTTTATCAGTCAACGAAAGGTGAGTGACCGTGTATTTTTTCTCATGCTAATGCAGGGCCTCTTCTTGATCCAAATGCTCTTCAGTATTAACACTGCCTTGCAAGACCAAAAGTGAGAGAGGTGTCTTGCTCCTCTGTGGGTATGTTCTATTGCTTGGCATAAAGTTTTAGTGACTTGGATATGCATTGCAGAGCACATGAGCATAGACATATGAGTTCATATTCAATGTGCTTCTTTTACTAGTTAAGGAGGAGTCTAGCTCATGGGTTTGGTCGGCCATTGCTTAATGCTTTTGCAGTTTGCTAACATTGCCTTCCGTTCACAAAGGAGGAGCCATTCTGGACCTTCCTTCTGGGGATTTTGTGGTATATTAGTCACGGATTGTGAACGCAGGCAAACAATTAATTTCCGAAAGTATCGAAATGGTTATCGTTACAGCTAGTGTGCTTTGAACTCCAGCACCATGAGTATGACTCGCAATTTTTTGTACCGTTTGAGCTTTCATGCGTTCCGTGTTTCAGTTAATGAGCGAAATGACTTTGTGCGGAATGTGACTCTAAACGCCTTTGCGCTTGATTCTATGATGGAGTGGCTCTAGCCTCTGTAAATAAGGTATAAAAACTGTTGATTTTCTCATCTCTTGTTCTTGTCAGTGTGTCATTTTCGCAGCTTGAAAAATTTTCTACCATCTATCCTAACGGAAAAGTGCCTTTCTTTTCCGTCAGTATCAACAACCGTCTCAACTTTGAGGTATCACGTGAAAGATTGATTTCATAGTACTTCCTGATGATGCTGTACAAGCATAGCGAGATAAAAATGGAATCAGACGTTCTACGTGGAGATCTTGAGAAGCTCCAATGAAGTTAACTATAATGATTTTGATTCTATTACTGTGCTCGGAGAGGCAGCATCACGCAAGGTACAACACCTGGCGTGGTATGGACATTTTTCTTTATTCATTCATTTATTTTCTGCCCAGTACATCGCCATCACAAGAAGCACCAGGAGCAACGCTTTCGAGATGGGAGTTCTTATCCACGGAAGCTATTTCATCGAGGTTCGAAAGCCGCAGTCGAAATCACTTGCTCAGGCCGTAGTTTTCCTTGTTGTGGCGTAGAGCTCTTCTCAATGGCGGCTATCACGTCGACTCTTATCCTCGTCCTCGTCTCTGCTATATCTTGCACTGCTCAGTCCCAGCCAAGGCTCTCTCTGCCCTTTGAAACCAGGCAAGTGAACAACGGTAGAAAGACAAGGTATGTCTCCAGGGTGACTCTCAATGATGCTGGCTCCACGAGCAGCGGCACCAGCTATACCAAAGCCTTCACGATCGATACAAGCTCCAACCAAGTCTCCGTGTCAAGCTGTAGCAACAACCGTGCCAGTTTCGAGCTCTTGGTCGCGACGAGCAGCTTCTTCACGACAAAGGCCAGTTTTCCCGTCGACATCGACATTGTTTGCAGCAGCAGCCAGGGAAACGTGATTGGCCTCGCGGCATCAGGTAGCTCCAGCTTACCACTCCAAGTCTCTCGATCGGCTAAACTCGCTCACAGGTTCACGTACTGCCTGGCTTCCAGCTCTGGCCGCGGTTTGGGCGAGCTCTACATCGGGCAGCAGGGTCCTTACAGGGTCTTCCACAACACGGACATCCTCAACTCTACGTCCCTGCCAATGCTCTATTTCCCACTCACGGTCTCGTCCTCGGGTTCTTACCACCTTAAGCTCGACAGCGTCTCTCTTGGATCCAAGACCACCGTCACTATTACCATGGTGGAGATTGGAACGAGCTTCCGCTACACTCGGCTCCCTCAGGCCGCGTACCAGATGCTCCGAGATGGATTTCTTCGCGAGGTCGGGGAGAAGAAGCTGGGCAGGGACTCGTCATCGTTTGGAGAGCTGGACTTGTGCTACAAGATGAGCGTGGAGCAGCGAACTACTTTTTCAAACGTGACGATGGTGGTGAGCGGGATCCCGTGGATGGTCTCCGGGGATAACTATCTGGTGACCAAGCCGGGGATAAGAAATGTGGCGTGCTTCGCGTTTGTGAGCGCTGGGAAGGATGGACGCAGCGTAATTGGAACTGCCCAGCAAGAGAACAACTTTGTGGAGTTTGATGTTGATGCCAAGAAGTTGGGTGTGAGTGGCTCGTTGTTTGCTGCCTTTGGGCTTGCCTGTGAGGACACCTCTGGTTCGTGATTTATTATTATTTCAGATATTTTATCTGAAGGAAAGTTCTGTCTATTAAGCTCGGGAACTTCCGACTTGGACGCAATGACAAATTCTTCCTCCACCTGATTGTCTTGTGTTGCTGCTGTCGCCAATGCAAACATATCTCCACAGGGACATGAAGCCTCGTCCCATTCTGGCAGCTAACGAAGCCCTCCCAAAGTTCCTAACAAACTTACTTACGCCAGGCACAGGGTCCTCTCGATGATCCACCGAAACTCGAAACTCGACTCTCGAAGGGATTCGTTGCTCTCGCTGTTGGTACCGGATCGGCCCGCTGCTACAGACCAAAGCATCAAACTCGAGGACCGAGACCCCGACCCCCAGCTGGACCCCGGACGCCGTGAACGAGTGGATATCACTAGCCCAGTCTCGCTCTTGCCACCATATCCTATCCTTCTTCTGAGAAAAGGACCAAGCAGTAGTAGTACTCGCTGCTCTAAGCTTCCTCCAGTGGGACGTCGCTAGCGTTCCCCGTGATCTTCTTGTGAGAGTGCGCGTGCTCTCTCCACGGAGTCACCCACGGTGATGCTGCTCTTTGCCATTGATGACGCTCCTCTGGAACCTCTCGCCAGCAACGGACAGGCGGGGGGATATTTCCTGGGAGCGTGGAGAGACGAGTCGAGCTCGACCTCGGTCCAGTTACTGTCCCGGTGCTCCAATCCGGGTGCCTCGTCCGGCACGAGAAAGATAAGTTCGGCAGGACGTTATTGATGTTCTTGAGTTCTCTAGCATTCCAGCCACCTTGACTCCGCTTGTCGTCGTGGAGATCAACCACTAGGATACGTTTGTCCATACTGTCCCTCTGAAAAGCCAAAGAAAAAAAGATAAAATAAGATAGTAATTACCAAGTTCGCAAGATCTCTCGCAACATGCACGGCCATAGGAATTCAGTCCCTTCTTTGCTCTAGTCTGTCCACAAATCTCATACAAAACGTGTCAGTCGAAGGAAAGTAAGAGAAAGAAAGAAAGAAAAACAACAAAACCGATCGCTTTTGTTTCGCTACCGATGCTTCGCTGCCAGCGCGCTTGCTTTCCCGTGGACGATCCGATCATCATGGCCAGAGCTGCAAGGCGAGAGAAACTATGAGTGCTAGATCTCGCATTTTCGCTTACCGTCACACTATGGAATCAACCCGATCGGGTGGAAAGAGACTTCGCAGCCATTCTTCTTGAACGAGCCGATCGTGTCAATGCCGCGTTCCAAAGAGGCCAATCCGCGATCGAACGATCCCTGGAAGGATTTCGTATAAGAATCCAGCGATTCGGACAGTGACTTCGCAGCATCCGTGAGGGACTGGCCGAGGTAGAATGCGGCTGCTGCCACTGCTGCTCCGAGGATTGCCGCGGCTGATACCCTCTCCTTACTCCACGATTTAGCGCTCGTGTTAATAGTGCTCTACAGCACAAGGCGGCTTACTTGATGGGAATTCGTTCTGCAACTACACATTCTCAAGCCTTGATGCCTTAAAAAAAATGGCTTGCTAAATGTCCAAGCCGGGACAAGTTTCGTGGATTTCGAGTTCCAGAAAGAAAGTAAGTTTCAAAATCTGTGGGTGACATGTTTGCAGGTTAAAACTGGAAGCTAACTTCTGGTGTATGACTTCATAAAAACTGCATATATCAATCACATTTCTCACAAGTTTGCTGAATTATACATGTGTTGCATTGGCTGTGGTAGTTCCTCGAGTTCAGGCTTGCAGAAGAGAAACATCCAACAAGTGATAGATTGAAGGGCAAACATCCAATAGTGATTTATTGAAGTTTTGTTTCAAATAAACTTTCCCACAACTGGACGAGCTTCTCAAATGGCTCAACTTTATAACTTGAGGTTGATTCCTAGGTGAGATGGCATCCTTTGGAGGCACCTGACTTGTTAGAGGAAACTCAAAGGTACAAAAGCTAGCATGGTCCATGTGCTCATGAGCTGGTTTATATCTTGAAATTCAATGGATCCCAAGCTGCATCCGAAAGGTGACAAGTTTGTCAGGTCCCAAAGGCTTTGTCAGCACATCTGCAAACATCTTCCCAGTCCGCAAGTAGTCAACACACATGATGCCAACTTCAACTTGACATAGGGAAACTGCACAAGGATGTGCTTGCTGTGCCCATAGAAAACAAGATTGCGAGTCATGGCAATGCTGCTCTGATTATCACACCATCTGATGGTTGGACCTAGCTGCTCAGCCCCAGGGTCCTTCAATAGCTGTCTCAGCCACACAAATTCCTTGCATGCTGTGGTTAGAGTGATATACTCAACTTCTATAGAGGAAAGTGCAATAACACTCTGTTTTCGACTTGTCCAACTAATTGCTGCCCCATAGAGCATCAGACAAAAGCCTGTGGTGGACCTGCACCCCTTGTTCATGGCCCAGTTAGCATCAGTAAAACACTTGAGCTGGCTATTGCTGTTAGAGTAATATAAGCCTTTGTCCATAGTTCCTTTCAAGTATTGTAGGATGTGTTTAGCAGCTTTCTAGTGAGCAGTGCATGGGTGGCCACTAAATTGGCTCAAGATTAGCATATGTTAGGCCAGGTTGACAATGCTAAATATATGAGGCAGCCAATCAAGCTTCTAAAGGGGACATTTTCGTCCAAAGGCTCCCGTGCATCTTGAGGGGAGGACAAGTTGACTGCGCCAACCAGCATAGGTGTGCGCACTGGATGGTAGTTCTCCATCCCAAACTGTTTCAAGAGCAATTCCATATAGTGCCTTTGATGCAACTTCAAGGTTTGCTCCTTCATGCATCATTTCAGTTGGATTCCCAAAAATGTCTTGACTTCCCCGAGGTCTTTCATCTAGAAATGTTTAGCCAAAGATCCCTTTAGTACCGAGATGGCATTATCATTGCCCCTAATGATGAGGTCATTGACATATAATGCAATGACTATTATGGCATCACTATACATCCATTTGATGAACTTTCCACCTCTAAGCATTTGCTATTGCAAGGATTGTCTGCACATTAGCCATTTTAACAACTAGTGAGAAAGTTTTATTATAGTCTATACCTCATATTTGTGTGAAACCTTTTGCAACCAAGTGTGCTTTGTAGTGGGGAGCACCACCATTAGCATCATATGTCTTTTTGAAGACCCATTTATGGTCAACAAGCCTCTGGCCACATTCTATAAATGTGTTGTTCTTGACCGAGGCATCCATTTTATTGTTGATGCCCTTTGTCCATAAGTGAGACTTTAAACCACAGCTTCATCATAGGTTGAAGGGACATTCCCATCAACAAAAATGCAAAGCTCAACTTCATCTTAGTCAAGCAAAGATATGGCATTTTTCAAGATTTTTAAGGAGGGCTTGCTTGTGCATGGATCCTCAACTACAAGTGCAAAGTATAACATTCCTCACTGATGGTGGGAACATGGAGCATTTTGTTGCTCATCAACAGGGTCAGAGACCAAAGTTGGCTTTAGCCAAGTATCATCTAGTGGATCATATTCGAAGGTAACAGTCCTCACATCATCAATAATTGGTGCATTCTTCTCAAAGACAGGAGGGAATATAGAACTTAGGAGATCTTTGTTGATAAAGCCAATGGATAGTGGCTCACCTTGGCTTTGCTGGGAGAATCATCTTTAATGAAGATCACATCTATATTGATAATTGTCTTTTTGGTTGCCAAATCCTAAAGCTTGTATGCTTTACAACTGTATTCTTCATCTTGTGTATAACTAACAAAGATAAGCTTTTGACTCTTTGGATTTAGTTTCTTGCAAAGCTAGTCAGGAACATGTGTGAAGATGGCACAACCAAAAACATAGAGGTGAGATACATTTGACTTCTTCCTTGTCCACATCTTTTTAGAGGTCTTCTATAAGGAACCAACTCCCCGATGTGTCATAAGCTAAAGGATCCCCGAAAGCATGACCAAAATGACAAAGAGTTCATCAGATGGGACCGAGTCTAAGATTGAGTCCAAAACCGATTCTAAAACCGAGTTCGAGATAGAGTCCGGGATCGAGTCTGAGGCCGACTCAGAGACCAAGTTCGAGGCCGAGTTCGAGACCAAGTTTGAGACAGAGTCCGAGATCCGAGATCAGGTCTGAGACCGAGTCCGAGGTCGAGTCCGAAGTTGAGTCCGAGATTGGGTCCGAGATTGGGTCCAAGATCGAGTCTGAGACCAAGTCCGAAGTCAGATCCGAGATCGAGTCTGAGACCGAGTCCGAGTACTAATACAGGTCATGGGGTGAAAGCCCAAAGTGTGCATCTCCTGGGGGGGGGGGGCGGCTGCAGGGGGTTCCAAAAGTATAGTAGGGATAGTGAGAGTGAGGTCCAGGAACCAGTCTTGAAGGAACTCTCTAGTGGTGCTTCCAAACTGACTTGAGGTTGAGACTGGGGCCGAAGGGCCTTGGGTGGGAGCAAGCATGGACTTGGGTGGTGCCAAAGGGGCCACCCAAGGAAGTGCTCAAGAGCAACTCCCACTCCTGAAAGGGAAATCGACTACAGTGCTCCCGGCTCATGTGGAGTGGTGCCCCACTTGAGTACCTTGTGGCTCATTGGTCCTCGCCCTTCCTAAGGGCTTGGGCTTTCCCTTCGAGATGGAAGTTGGGGGGTAGAGGTACTTATACCGAGCCATTAGGCCACGGTGTTTCGCACTGGTATCCCAAAGCAAATGTTGCACCCAAGGCTTGGGATTTAGAGGGTCCTATGATCAAGTCTTATTGTACCAAGGGATGTTAAGAACCTGGAGGCTTGGTGTGTTTGGCTGCTTGTGACTGCAGGGAGTGTAGCCGAACCTTAAGTCTAGTCTAACCTGGGGAGTGGGATTGGGAGAGATTTAGGGATCCGTGGAAGGACGGCTAACGCTCCATTGCTCGTGCAGTGAGTAACTGAAACCAAATAGGACCAAGTAGGAGCTGGTACAATAGATGGGAACCTTGGTATGGGAACTTAGCAAAAGCCAAAGCAGTGTTGGTCGGATAGACAAGGTAAGCTGGCAAATTGGACAGGAAAAATTTGTGGCTTACAATTTGGTATTAGAGCCTTTTCCTAAGTTCTAGCAAAGGATAGAGGCGGATTGCTGGGAGATGGCAAAAACAAGGCATAAA